CATGTGTAAATCACCTTCTGAACAACTTAGCCAGCCAGGATTTGGGGCTTTCAATGAAGTTAGGGCACTGTGACAAGTTACGAACCTATCTTTTCTCAGTGGAAATAGAACAGACAAGATTCTTAGGCAAGAATCTTGGTCTACAACGTTATGATTGACCAAGGGATTTATGCTCAACAAAAGACTTTTTCTAAAAAAAAAAACAAACAAACAAAAAAAAGATTTATTGATTTAGTTAGTTAGTTAGTTAGTTAGTTAGTTAGTACAGGGTCTGGCTACATAGCTCAGACTATAGTGAGCTTCCTTTCACAGCCTCCCCAGCACTGGGATTACTGGTATGCGCCACTATTCCCTGTTTCGGTGGCTAGCACTGTGCAGGGCCAGCATGGCATGTGGCACTGGGGATTGAACATGAGACCTTGTGCTTACCAGGCAGGAACTTAGGCTGCTGAGCTATATCCCTGGGTCAAGACTATTTTTAATAGAAATATGTGAATAGGGATAAAACTATAAAAACTATCTTTGTGATACTTTTTAAAGCAATTATCAATTGGACCTATTTATTCCTGTTTAAGAGAAGCATTCTATTACACATTCCCTTTTCATATATACCTTCTTTGTATAAAATTTTCAAAGCAGTTTAAATAGAAACTACCTGATTGCATGCACTGTGTTGTCTACCTTTTTCTTATTCAACAATAAGGGGCAGAGGATGTAGAGTTTATTAAGAGAATGTTATTTTAAATTGTAAACTTACTTTTGTTTTGATGGTAGGCAAGCGCATCTGTGAGAATTAATTCGAAACCACAGATCTGCAAGACTTTGGGAAGCAGCCACTGAGCCTCTGACACCTCTGTTGGGATGTCATGTGTCACCTGTGGAAAAATCATTCTGATTAAGTAGCACAGTGACTTGGCATTCTGACCTCTGCTTCCCTGGGAGGATCCGCATCCTCTGACATCTGGCTGTTGTACATCTCACCTGTGACCACAGATGGAATCTGAACCAGTGGAATCGATATCCCCAGATTGCAAACACGGATGCTGGCAGCCAAGGGGAAGGTCTCTCAAAGGAGGACCAAGTAAATGTGACAAATCCACTGAAGCGGATCATCAGGAAAGGAAAAAGACTCTCACATATGCAAGCTGTTCTTCATTATTCTGTGGCACGTCTGGAAGAACAGACTACTATTATGAGTTTCTTCATAATAGATAACTTTTTTCTCTCTGCATGCCTTCTAGCAAGTCAGCTAAGGGCTCATCTTGGGGGTTCTGAAAACCCAATGATTCGATATGTACTCAGAAATCTTCATAACCAGGTTCCTTGGTGCCTCGAAAGGAAAAATAGATACATTATTAAAAGCAATGATACTATTCTATCTAAAATTATCTCAGATATTAAAATGCGCTGTGACCCAGATTCAAAGTAACAGCTAAAAGCCCACACCTACATAGACAAATATATATATAAAAGTGTGAATCTCAGCTTATCCATGCTCAGCTCAATTATTTTCTCACAAAAATTTTTGTCTTCTCGGAATAAAATGTAGTTTGCTGTATCTTCCTCTCCAGCAAAGTGTTTGTCCACTTCATTTGCTAAACCCTTGGAAATTTTGTATTGCCTGATTAATTGTAGCATGACCAGAAATTAAACAGATGAATGACAGACTAATTAATATATTATATTTTGAGGTATGGTGGTTAACTGATTGTATTAATTTCAGTGAGAAATGCCAACTAAATTGAGTTAGCATAGTTCTGGGTGTGGCAGAAGATAAAGACGTACCCTGGGTGCTTGACAATAACCAATAAGTTCGCTGCTGAATAGAATAAAAGATCCCAGGCCTCGCCTTTGCTATGGACATCGTCATCTGCTGGCTTCCGGGGCTCTCTCCAACCTCCTGAGAGAGACTTGCACGGGACACAATTGTGAGCCTGCCTGGGCCCTTTGGATGTCCTGTACACAGACAGCGCTTGCCTGCCTGACTCTGCAGGTGGCCACTGGAAGCCGAATGTGCAAATTATCTTTTTTTTTTTTTGTATTTTTGGAAAGGTCTACAGGGTGTTCAGGGTCTCACTACTAGATCGGACTCATAGTGATCCACTTGTTTACAGCCTCCCAAGAGCGGAGATTACAGGTGCGCACCACCACGCCCAGTCTCAATCACTGTCTCAGAGTGCCCAGGGGCGGGGCCAGCACCACAGACCTGGAGTATCCAAACCCCAATCCCCTGAGCCTGCTTGCAGGTGCTTTAATCCACTGAGTTATTTGGTGAGCCCATACAAATTCCTCTGCTATATCTTGCATTGTCTGTTTTATTAGTTAGCCCTGACAGACATGGCAATAAAGAAGATGAAAGGTTTCTTTGGATTGCTGCCCCCATTTGTAAGAGTGATATCAAATACAGCACATACACATATTTCTATGCCAGACAATGTGAAATACAATTTTTTTCTTCTTCACTTTTTTTTCTCCTTCTTCACCTTGTAAGTTTTCTTTGGGTTCAAGGATAGGTTTTGAAGAGAAGGTGAGGTATGATAACTTTTGCTTACTCTGTGTGTAGAAACCCATTTGATCCCACTTATTGCCATTTTCTGTATGGAGAAGGCAACCTTCAATATCAATTTTAAAAATTTAATATACAATTAAAAAGAGAGAGGCAAGGGCCGGGGAGATAGCTCAGTAGAATAAGCGCCTGCCTGGCAAGTGCAGGGTCCTGAGTTCAATCCCCAGTATCACAAAGAAAAAAGGCAAATATCATTTAAATAAAACTCTGAAAATAGAACTTGGTCATTGAACATTAATTTGCATTCCACTTTGTTTTTTTCAAAGACAAGAGCATGGATGCTAAAAGATGATCCAAAGAGGTTCTTTTGTTTTTGTTTTGTTCTTACATTGAATTGTCCACTACACTGTATCAGGATATGTCTTAGATCCTGTGCTGACTTTCAGCTGCCCTAAGTGATCATTGACTGATTTACTCTTCAGTCATAACTAAAACTAAAAGAAAGTTCTTATAAAAATATAGTTACACTTAAAGGAGTTTGACTGTTCTGAATAAAAAATAATACGTAGTGCTTGACATTGCACCTATAATTTTACACCTCAGTGATTTTAATATCATGAATAATAGATATGTAATTTCAACTTTCAACTCTAATGAGAGATGGGTTTGCATGGCCACTTGTAATTTAGATTCCTGTCTGTTAGCTAGTATATGGGAGTTCAACGTAGCACCTGGCCAAGCTACGACAATGTTCAAATTTGTAAGTGATTACCATCTTATATTATCTATTTGAAGTTTTTATTTTCTTTGTCAGTGATAAGTTGGCATATACAGTACCAAAGAGGTTTTGCGTACTGAGATTGCTTTCTGATATGTCATCATCTGATTTTCCATGAGTTAGGTAGCAAAGACAATACAATGCTACCTCTATAAAAGCATCCAAGATTTCCATCAACAGTTACCTCACTGAAGATCGGGGGAGACAGTGCAGTAGAATAAGTGCATGCCTGGCCAGCACAAGGTCATGAGTTCAATCCCCAGTCTGGCAAAAAAAGAAAACATAATTCATCTCCAGTTTCTGCTGCCTTTAAAGGCAGATATTTTGCGTAAGAGAGCCTTACTGAAAGGAACTGATGAAAACTTGGTACATTTCTATCATTCTACATCAACGTGTGCAACTCTACCTTGCTTACTATTAAGTGGTATGTTAAATTGAATTGCTAAATCGAACTTGTTAAAATGTTCAAGATATGCATGGTGTAGATTTATTGAGGAAACCTCCTACACTTACCCCATTAAAGTTCACTTATTCTTTCAAGGTAGTGAAATATTGAAAATATTTTACTCTAATAAGATATAGTTCAAGAAAAAGTTTATTCTGTAGCTTTCTTCCTTTCTCATAAAATTCAAGTTATGTCTCTATGATTTTACTCACTCATGAAATATTTTTCAGTGCCTGCTGTCTGACATGTCCTTATCTAGGCCCTAGAAAAATACATAAATGTCATCAGGCTTGTCCCCTGGTGACCTCCTTTATCTAAATATAAAACCTATCAAGGACTCACAACACTGTCATATTGGCCTACAGTAGCCCAATGGCTTCTTTAGCTGTCTCCCTGCACGGACGCTTAGCCCTTCCACAGAAGACAAAAAAATGGCATTCACAAAAGAAATCATGTGAAGATTCTTCCGAAGGCTCTCTTACAGCTTTCCCCTGCAATGAAGGTAAAAATGTTATTTTCTGCACAGTAGGAGGCGCCACGTGGTCTGAGTCGCGGCTTCCTCCACTGTCTCCTTGTTGGTCGTTCAGTGCGGTAAGCGTGCGTGTCTGCTCAGCAGAGGTCCTCAGCACCAGATTGTCCTACGGCCTGGAAACCGGGTTCTCAACATCAACATCATTCTATTTTCTACACAAATGTCACCTTGCCAGAGAAGTCCTTCAGCACTGAAGTTTACATAAAACACTCGCACATGTTCCCTAGCGAGCAACTCTCAAATGCCTTGGTTTGCCAATTGTCTATTCAAAGTATTTATTAACATCTGACGGTATATCACATAATACATGTCAGTGTATGTTCTTGCGTAATATTTTATACATCATATTATATTATATTAATTATTGGATATTATTTTATAAAATGCAATCATCAGTATTTTCTGTTTACAAAGGCAGAGGTTCTGGTCCTTTTATTTATCACTGCATTTTTTTTTGTATTTTAGGGAAGGGTCTACAAAGTGTTCAGGGTCTCACTACTAGATCGGACTCATAATGATCCGCCTGTTTACAGCCTTCCAAGAGCTGGGATTGCAGGCGTCCACACCAAGCTCAGTCTAAATCGCTATTTCAGCGCTTCCCAGGAAGCAGGACCTGCACTGCAGGCCCGGGATCGAACCCTGGGCCCTGCGCCTGCCTGCAGGTGCTTCAATCCACCGAGCTATTTGACTGGCCCTTATCACTGCATTTTTGACATTTAGAATCAAAAGTTAAGAACATATGACAATTTATTTATTAAAGATGACAAAGATGGTGTGGCAGGAGCTAAGGGAACCAGGTTTGCTAAAGTAATAGTGGTGATAGAATGTACTAGCCTCAGAAGCTCCTGAGGTGCCCTTTCTGTCCTCACACAGTGTAAAAAAAAAAAAAAAAAAAAAAATGACAAAGATTTTTTGTGATGGAATTTTTTCATTAATACTAAAATGATAACAAGATAATATTAAAAACTCATAGTACAATTATGCCTAATTGACATTAAAAACAAGCCTAGGAAAAATACATTGTTATCTTAGAATAAAAAATAAATACATACAAATAACAAGGGATTCACTACCAACTATTTCAACAGACATGCAGTGATTTAGTACACAGGTATCATAAACATCTGGGAGGTGAAAATGATGTAACTAATGTAGAGCAATTAGACTTTGAAAAATCACAATAACATAGCGAGAGACATTCTCTTTTTACTGACATATTTATATTCACGGAGTATTTGTAAAGATAAATACAACTTTAGTAGAAACTATCAATATTCATTTTTTCATAGTCTATAGGTGGACAAAGACAAATTTGATGGCTCATATAAAAATGTAAAACTTTCTACACCTTGTACAAAAATATTTGTTATAATATCTATATATTTGTGATTTCTCAATACAGGTTATTAAAACAAGATTTTCTTCTTGTTAATCGTTATATTCCCTCACAAAATGTAACAGAGTATCTTTTAGGTGAAAGTTCTTACTTTTTAAATAAGACAATGGTATTATCTGTTCCTTTTATTTTCCCATAACTTAGAGCTCAAGCTCCCTTCTTTTGAGGACAGAGCTTCGCTCTTCTGCCTCTCTGCTGAAGGATTTGGTGCTCTGGTTTTGTGAACCTCCTTTCCAGGGCTGTCAGTCTGTCTCTGATGTTCTCATCAGTCTGTTGTCTTCGTCTTTTCTAGCTCTCCAGTCATGACATGATGCTGCACAAGAGCAGGACCCATCTAAGTCTTTGGTATCATTATACCTGGGAGTGGTGGCATTTATAAAGTGGGGCCAGGATGTAGGGACCAGGGTTTGATCCCTGGTATCACATGCCATACAGACCCCACCCTGGGGAGCATTGAGCCGACCACCAAGTCTAGGCTTAGTGCTGCACGCTTATAATTCCTGCGCTGGGGATGCTGAAAACAGGAGGATCATTAGGAGTCTGGGCTGGGTAGTGAGACCCTGCATCAGGTAAATAATAATAATAAAACTGGACCAATTACAAAATCCCAAATATCCTATGTTTTTTGCAAGTAAACCTGATGGAAAAAGAAAAATGAGAGAAGGCTATAGTATGGATAAATTATGCTGATTTTAAAAAGACAGTGTGCTACTTTCAACATTTTAAATTTGAGTGTAGATACACATTGGAAGCACACTAACCTGCAGTGCTTGTGGGAGTGTTGCTTATCCAATTGCAAAATTTTAATGACAAGCATCATTATAACTTATGATGGATTACAAAAAATTTTAATGACTGCTAATGGGTCTCAAAGGGATGAGTATATATGTATATATTTTTGAAAAGGAATAGAAATATATATTATTTTATTTAGTTTTTGTCTCAGACTCATAGAAACTGTTAGAAATATAACTGAAGTACGAAGTGGCAGGTCAAAATAAAGTTGGTAATTTATTAGTTTGCCATCTTTATACATCCTAGGTGTTGGGTAAAATATTTTCTAAGGTGAATTTAGAGTATAAACGTGCTGGTACCAACATGTAACACACCTTCTATCACTGAAATTTTATGTGAACCTTCTTCTTAATTTGAATTCATTATTATGGGGTACATCAGATTATTTGCTTTATTGTCTATTCTGTGAAGTTAACTCCATAAAGTACATGGATGCAGTATGTGGCAGCAAAGAAACATAAATAAGAATATTTGTCCATGAGGGCTTGAGGGGCCTTAAGGTATTTTGCCAACTAACTGATACATAATCATTAGTTAGTTTAGAGTGTGAAAGTATAGTAACTCATGTAACAATTATTGCTATTAACAATAACAATCGCCTCTGGTATTTACTGCATCCTCTGTGTCTCCCATCATATTGGCCATTTTACATATGTTATTTCACAATTCCTCATCTATTACTGAGATAACTAATGCTGCCATTATTTTACCAATATGATTCTACAGAGACTCAAAAGAATAAAATGAAACATTTTTCAATACAAATTTAATTGATAGCCTTAAACTAAATATGGAAATTTGGTAACTTGTATTTTAAAGATGAATTTAACAGATAATGTTTTTAATTACTTAAATTTTGGAAGAGTTTAAGCACTATAGTATTCTATATTAAACAACATGAGCATAGAACTGCTATAACTAATCGTTTACTCACTAAACATTCTACTTCTATTTTAATTCTACAACTATTCATTTAATACTTGTCCTTTTACAAAAAAAATTGTGATAATTGATCTCTTGGTCATTTGCTTTTTCCAAAAATAAAAAAAATGACTGCATATAATGAATATAGGAGTTGTACAAGTTAAGTTTTGGTCACCCTTGACCCTAAAGTCGAGCAGGTTTCCTAACAATTTCACGGTCAGCCAAATTGTTCTGGGCCTTTAATTTCCCCTTGTTTCTCTGCTAGCCACTTTCTTGATAAAGAAGAAGAAACAAGATCAAAGTCCTCCTAGGAGAGAAAGCTATTGGACAATGGTTTTTATTAGTTATACACTCTTTTGGATTCATGCAGTAAAAAATTATGGCAAAAATCTAATCAAAAGAATATTAAAAGGAAATTGTCCCTCTCCTCCCTACAAAATCTAATGCAATTGCTAGCGTGTGCTCCTTGATGGCTTAGTAGAGATATTGTTGAGTGGACACTGAAAAGCAGGTATCTGATGAGGAGGGGAGACGAATATTCATAAACACAGTTAATACTAAAACATTTCTTCCCTGCTACTTCCTTCACTGTACTCATTTCTACCCTCTGGAGTGGTGGAAGACATATTAAAATATTAATTTTCCGCTTTACTGGAATGATTTCAGAGTCAAGTGCCATTAAAATTCTGAATGTAAATTCAAAAAAAAAAAAAAAGAGGATATGCTTCGCTCTAAAGCTCTTCATTGGATTTTTTTAAAAACTATTTGCTTTATGTGAAAAAAAGCTACTATTTCAAAAATTTTAATTGCTTTGGGAGATGCAAGCAGAGGCCAGCAAAGGTGCTACAGTCTTGTGAAATATTGTCTGTCACTCAGAAAGCATCCAGCAGTCCCCTGTGATAAGCTGGGAGGACAAAGGGCAGCGCGTTGCAGGCAGGTCAGCGTGCCGTGGTCAAAGCCACATCTCACTGCCATTAAGAGCCCATTAAGAGCCTTTCCCCTGCACTTTCTCCTTTGTATGTTCCTGCATATTTCCATCAGAGGGACAGGCTGAAAAATGCCACGAGGGGTAACTGTATGTGGAGGCAATTGCTCAGTGATAGAGTGCTCAGAGCACCAAATAGACGTGGGACTAAAGGTTCTGGAGGTTTGCATCCTTGCTGGTCACAGGAGGGCACACCCCAGGGCGACGCCTTTAACCTGGTGTGAGTGAGATGTCATACTACCTACCAGTTGCTCTTTTATCTCTCATTGCTTTTCATGTCTTTGCTGCTCAAGTAAACTTGTGGCCTTTTGGGTATAATACCACATAGAACCTTTTGCTCAAACACATATGCACACACACAGCAAATATAGAGAAGCTACTTTAATAACATTTAACAACTCCTTCCCCTTGTCCAGTTCTTATAAGCATTCTAGTTCCCAGGCCCTCCTCCAGCAGCCATGCCATCCTGGCCCTGGTAGCACAATACATCACAAACCATCACATGGAGACTACTGGCAAGCCATTTGCCCAATGCGAAACTCTCAGTCCAAACTAAATCTGACCTTGAGCAAACTTGAACTGAGCTTGACAGAAACTCACCATTTCATGAAATAACAGCTCCTCGTTCCTCTATTATTTTTTCTTGGCTCATATCAGCACAACTCATAGTCCACAGAGAGCAAACCAAAAAAACTTTCTGGGCCTTGCACCAGCGTAAGCACTGCACATGAATGAGACCAGCTGAGGGCTAAAATCACTTCTCTACGGGCTGGAGAGCAGGCCTAGTCATCTCTACTTCACAAAGTGTTTAAGGAATCACCTCAAGATGCAGTAGGTAAAAAGCAGTGGGAGGGGCTGGGGAGACAGCACGGCAGACTAAGTCCCTGCCTGGCGCGTAAAAGGACCTGAGTTCAATCCCTGGTACCACATGCCCTGCCAGCCCTGGAATTCCGGGTGCACAGTGCCGGCCACCAAAACTGGGCATGGGGGCACATGCCTTTAATCCCAGCACTGAAGAGTCTGAGACAGGAGAATCACTATAAGTCCAAGCTGTGTAGCGAGACCTTGTACCAATAAATAAATAAATAAGATTTTTTTTTAATAATTAAAAAAAATCCTTAGGAGGGACCAACACTTAAGTCGCTGCCTTTGCCTTCTGGCCACTGAGCTCAGGGACATACTGCCATCTTGGTAATGGTTGGATGTACTGAGCCTTGGAGCTGGTGGTTGTGAATCTGAGGAAAATACTCAGATGTAACTTATAAAAAAATAAGGTGTATTAGGGCACCACAAGGCAAGGGTAAGGTTAAGACGTACAAGCTGGAAAGGACAAAGTCCAGTGGCTGTGACCACTCTAGTGATGAGTAGAAGGTCCAATGACAGTGGACTGGATGGGAATACCCAGAATACCTTGGCAGCCAACTACACAGAACTGGCTAGAGCATGTGCAAAGGGATCGGGACAGTGGGGTGGCCTGTCTCAATGATGTTCTTCACAGTGCTCCATTCTTATCCAATTACTGCTTGGAGTGGGTTTTATGGATTAAACTACATTTTTCTGGCATCATTAGGTGACTTGGTTCCATTGTATGACTAGTATTTCAAGTAACGGCTGTCGTAGCACAATGATATAAAGGCAATTTTTGCAGACAAAATGATTTATGAAGTTCCTAATACCCTTTAGTAAGATTCATCCAGACAGTCTGCTTACCAAGTCCTTGTGATTTGACCAGAGGGATTGTTAGAAAAAAATTAATAATAATAATAATAATAATA